ATTTGTGAATTTTAGTATCCGAGAGTGTTTGAATGTCGAATCTTGAGGAGGAGCATTTAAAACTTCCTATGAGCCCTTAAAAAACCCTTAAGGGTGTTGAAAGGCATTGAGGTGTCTTCAAGACTATCAAATTGTACCTAAAAGCTTTTTAGGGGTTGCTAGAGTTATCAAGTCTCTTTATTTACCGTGTCATCAAAATGTGCGCTTTTGAGACCGTATCCACACAGTCTTAAACCATTAAGAGCACTTTGTATACTCGGGAAGACCTTTCTTATGTCTATGAAAATTACTTTACTTGTTTACTAAATCGCCTCGAATCTCTAAATTAAATGAATTTTTTGGCTACTAAAGGTTTGAAACTTTGTTTTAATGGTATACACACTCTTCTAAAGCATTCAAGAGTTCAAGAGTCTAAATCTCAGAAGCCTTAAAGCGGTTTCAAAGGGCTTCAATCAACCTCATTATTTGACAGTTCGTCACGATTAACCTCTACAAGGTTTAAAGCGTTGTCAAAGATTCACTTTTCAAAATTCTTCGGCTATAAAAGGCCATGAAAGTATTTGACATATCGTCCTGTTTAAGGTCTGAGTGTTTTTAGAGCCATTGTGAACTTGTCTTAAAGAGACCTGCAGTTGCACTTAAGTAGCTTCTCCAAGCCAGACACACAGTCTTTAAAACCTCTTTAGTATTCAAAAATGTTAGAAAGCCAAACCTTGAAAAAATAAGTCCTTATGGGATATTGTGGGAACTTGAAGGTATCTTAAGTGTATTCTACAATCTCGTAGATACTCTAATGACATTGAAACGCCGTTAAGGTATTCCAAAGCCGCGCGGTGATTTTAAGGACTTTCTATAGGTTTTTGATCCTCAAAAAAGGTCTTCAAAATCCTTGAATAGCCTTCAACGGACCTCATTAGTTATAAAATAATGAAAACAGACCTTTATAATCGGCTTGGTTGATTGATTCAGTGACTTTTTGGCCAAATAGGGCCTTTAAGGGTCTATAACACATTCAGGGTGCGTTTTAAAGTGTTTTAAGTGCTGCTATCGCGAAGGCTTCTAGAACATTCCTAAAATATTCAGGGTTCCTCTCGATGGCGTTCGAAATGTTGGTTCACCTTCCCCAGATCAACTTGAAGTTTTCCAAAATTTTCTTACAATCTTCTTGCGACGTTTTTGAAATGGCGTAAGGTCCTTTAGGATCCTTTTGAAATTACTCACGATCATAAACATCCTAAAAATCCTAAAGATCCTGAAGATCCTGACGATCCTAAAGATGCTAAAGATCCTGAAGATCCTGAAGATCCTGAAGATCCTGAAGATCCTGAAGATCCTGAAGATCCTGAAGATCCTGAAGATCCTGAAGATCCTGAAGATCCTGAAGATCCTGAAGATCTGAAGATCCTGAAGATCCTGAAGATCCTGAAGATCCTGAAGATCCTGAAGATCCTGAAGATCCTGATCCTGAAAGATCCTGAAATCCTGATCCTGAAGATCCTAAAGATCCTAAAGATCCTAAAGATCCTAAAGATCCTAAAGATCCTAAAGATCCTAAAGATCCTAAAGATCCTAAAGATCCTAAAGATCCTAAAGGTCCTACAGATCCTAAAGATCCTAAAGGTTCTAAACATTCTAAAGATCCTAAAGGTCCTAAAGGTCCTAAAGATCCTAAAGATCCTAAAGATCCTAAAGATCCTAAAGATCCTAAAGATCCTAAAGATCCTAAAGATCCTAAAGATCCTAAAGATCCTAAAGATCCTAAAGGTCCTACAGATCCTAAAGATCCTAAAGGTTCTAAACATTCTAAAGATCCTAAAGGTCCTAAAGGTCCTAAAGATCCTAAAGGTCCTAAAGGTCCTAAAGATCCTAAAGATCCTAAAGATCCTAAAGATCCTAAAGATCCTAAAGATCCTAAAGACCCTAAAGATCCTAAAATCCTAAAGATCCTAAAGACCCTAAAGATCCTAAAGGTCCTAAAGGTCCTAAAGATCCTAATGGTCCTAAATGTCCTGAATATGTTAAAGATTCAAAAAATCCTAAGTATCCTAAATATACTAAAGGTCCTAAAGGTTCTAAAGGTCTAAAGATCCTTAATATCCTAAATATGCTAATGATCCTAAAGATCCTAAAGATCCTAAAGATACTAAAGGTCCTAAAGATCCTAAAGGTCCTAAAGATCCTAAAGATCTTAAATATCCTAAATATCCTAAAGATCCTAAAGATCCTAAAGGTTCAAAAGATCCTAAAAATCCTAAGTATCCTAAATATCCTAAAGGTCCTAAAGATTCTAAAGGTCTAAAGATCCTTAATATCCTAAATATACTAATGATGCTAAAGATCCTAAAAGTCTAAAAGATCTTAAAAATCCTAAAGATCCTTAAAGATTCTAAAGATTCAAAATATCTTACTGAACCTAAAGGTACTACAGGTTGACCAACACAGAAAACTAAAAAAATTTTTTAAAGAATTTGAAAAGTATCAAAAAAAATGTTTAAAAGGGTGAAAAACTTGCTGTTCGAAAGTTAAAAAATGTTCATTCCGAAAAATCCGAAAATCCTAACAAAATCTAAAAAATCGGGAAATTTGAAAAAGCCTGAAAAATTTGAAAAATATTTTAAAATCTGATAAATCTGAAAAATTGAAAAACCTGAAGAACCTAAAAAACCTGAAAAATCTGAAAAAATGAAAAATCGACAGCCTTTAAAATGTAAAGGTCTACTAAAGGGTAAACATGTTATTCGAATCCTCTATAGATTTTAAAAATTTTGAGAACTTTTATGAGACTACGGTCTCTAAGCGACTGCATGAATCTCTAAGTGACTCTAATTGAGAACCTTAAGATCATATAAGAATGTCCGAAATACCTTAATCGCGTGAAACCTTTAACAGACATGTACCCTTTAAAAAGTTTTAAGGGTGCTAGTGTATAATAGGAATGGTCACTTGCACCTTGATGGAAATTTAAAACTTTTAAGGATTTCTAAGGATCTTTAAAACCTTTAAGAGCCTAAAATCGCATTTGACCCCAGATCTCCCTTTTTGATTAATTTATGGAATTGCGAAACTTTTAAGGGCCTTAAGTTGCATTTCATACCGTTTAGGAGTCGATTCCAGTCTCTTTTTTTGAGTTATTGCTTAAAAGTCGATCCTTGAAGAACCTACGAAAGTTTTAAGGAGGTATTATGGACTTCTTAATGTTTTTGGGACCTCTAAGGCTATTTAAGCGCGTTTAAAAATCTATTTCAAACGTAGTCGTATTTAAACAACAACCAATCTAAAAAACTAAAAAATCTGAAAGATTTAAAAAATCTGAAAAATCTGAATCCGAAAAATTTGAAAATCTGTAAAACCTGAAAAATCAGGAAAAATTGAAAACTGAAAAACCTGAAAAATCTAAAAGAAATATGTAAATGGGAAATTTTGCAGTTTGAAGGTTAAAGATTAAAGTTCGAAAAGTGATTGAGTTATTAGGATTAGGGCTTGAGGTTCTTCGTTGAGGTTTGATTCTGGAAAGTTTGATAATCTGAAGGGCCTAACAGATTTAAAAAATCCGAAACAAAAAATTTGAATCCGTTTGAAATGGGGTATCCATATGTTCGGTCCGGCCCTGGCCTGTAACGTCAAACCATAAAAACTTACATGACTTTATAAAGGGACGTAATGATCTTGTGTAAAGCAAATAGTCCCAATGAAGTCGTTTCGCACACGACGAAGTTTTTCCATTACGTCCAAATAAGCCCGAAGCAAACGAAAAGAAAATTTTAATAAGCTCGCGATTTTACTTCGAAAATCCAAACAATCTTTTTTCAATGAAAATCTGAATTTAATTACTTCGTAAAATTGTAAAATTTTAAAAGCAGTTGGTGTTGACAGCGCTCGGTTCGGTATAATTAGCCTTACGGAAAGTTTCTTAATTAGTAGTTCACGTATGAACGGGTAAACTGCCTCCTAAGCAATATTCTGTAGCATTACGAGTTGATGTCGCTCCTTGAAGGCTCACGTCGTGAGTGGGACCTTAGGCTGTCGGTCTTAACCCCGCGTTCATTAAAATGACAAAGGGTTATTTCTACCTGTCAATATCTACTAGAAACAAAGCGCTAATGAGTTGCAGCTTGGCCAACACAAAAAATATCGCGGCCCCTCATTTGTCAACCTCCTTTTACGTCCTGTAGGAAGGAGATTTCTTTTACAAAGACAGCAGTAATCCACTTTATGAAGAGTCTTAACTCACAATCGCCCTTACTGCTTTGAAACCTTTATTTGACACTCGTCGCTTGAATTTTCATAGAACTAGGGTACACAAAGCCGCTTTCATTTTAAAATCCACATTTTCATTATCCTTACGCAAAGGGGGGTTGCTTTGTACGTCTCGGATGTAATACGGCGGAGACGTTTCGTATTTCTCTTTCAATTAAGTTGGTTACCAAATTTGGGAACCTTACCTCTTTGAGCGAATTAAAATAAGTAGCTTACATGCATTCAGTGCGATGTAGTTCAGGTTTTTGAGAAGTTGCGTTAATTTACATCCCAGATTTTTTGGGGTGGTTAGCTCAACTTGTATAATGACAGATATCCGTTCGTCATTGTAACCCCGTCAAAGTTTGTACCGTCTCAATCGATCTGGAGATGGCCATCGTAACCCCGTAGACGTTTGTACCATCGAACTAGGTTTTTTTGAATTTTGTAATTCTCCTTGTAATAAACAGAACTTTAGGTTTTCTTAGACAACAACGGTCAGGTAGGTTCCATACTGAGCAGTTTTTCAGGCTTAACCAGTAGGAAAAATCGTACCGAGAGACATAATTATATTAACATAAGGCTATGCAACCTAGTGGAATCAAACGCGCAATGATGAAGTTAGGGAAAGTTAAGGTGCACTTTCGAGTGGTGTGCATGTGAAGTTTAGCAGTGGCGGCTTGTTTTTGATGTTAGCGCCTCGCGATTATTGAATTGCCTCCTAAAAGTTATTTTGTCGCGCTTCAACGAGAGACCACAGAACTTTCGGCATTTACCTGCGCTGATGTCTCGCATTTGTTGCAGGTTATGTCAGAGTGCGCGAGAAACGAGCCATCGAATAGAACTATGGGGTAAGTGCCTTTTTGTTTATAATTAACTTCCCCAAGACCTACTTTAGAGCTCTAATTCTTTACAAGATTCTTTTAAAGTTTTTAAACTGTTGGCGATTTGCAAACCTTAAAGATTAAGGAACTTTAAATACACTTAAAGACTTTTAAAGTTCTTGGTCACACTTGAAGGCCCTCGAAAACTCAAGGGTTTGTAAAGACTGAGAGTATACAGAGTTCACTTTTGGAAACTTTTTTGAGTTCGTAAAAGATCTTAAGAGACTTTGAAAAATCGGAAATTTCTAGATGCTATAGTAAAGAAAAACCGAAAGTAAGTTTCTCCAGCATTCCCCCCTTTCCTAAAACACTCCACCTTTTCCGAAAATTCCCCAAACCCAACTTTCCCTGAAATTCCCCAATGTGTCCCAAATTTTTCCGACTTTCTGCAAAATTCCCAAATATTCCCGACCATTCCCAACTTTCCTCAATTTTCTTAAAATTTGTTCAATGGTCTCAAACCTTTCCTGGCATTCCCTAAAATTCCACAAATATTTCCAACATTAACCAATTTTCCCCAAAATTCCCCTATTTTCCCCAACTTTTCGCAACATTCTCTAAAATTCCCCACAGTTCCGCACCTTTCCCCAAATATTTCCAACTTTTCCTAACTTTCCCCAAAATTTCCCAACGTCTCCCAAAATTTCCCAACGTTTCCCAAATTTTTCCACCTTCCCCAATATTCCCCAAACATTTCCAACTTTCTCTAAAATTTCCCCGTTTCCAAAATTTTCGCCCCTTTAGCTAAAGTTACTTAATAATCTCCAACTTTCCTCAAAACTCCACATATATTCCCAACCTTCTCCAATATTCCCCTGCATTCCCCAACTTTTTCTAAGTTTCCTCAAAATTCGCCAACTTTTCCCAACTACTCCCAACTCTCTCCAACATTTCCAAATATTCAGATCTTTCTCCATCCCCTACGTTTCCCAACCTATCCCACTTTTTTCCAAAATTCCCCAGTTCCCCAAGTTTCAGAAAAATTCCCCAACCTTACGTTCCTTGATTTTCTTGAAAATTCAAATCATCTTATCAAATATATTAAAAGAAATTGCAATAACAGTTGTCAATAATAAATTCGCTAAAATTCTTCAAATTTCCCCAACTTTCCCTAACTTTCCCCAAATATTCCCAACATTCTCACACGTTCCCCACCTTTCCGCAACTTTTCCCAAAGTTTCCCAATTCTCCCAACCTTCCCTAATTCTCACCAACATTCCACCTAGCCCAAAATTCCTTAACTTTCCCAAAAACTCCCCATAGATTCGCAACATTTCCCAATTTTCCTTAACTTTCCCCAAATTTCCCCAACCTTTCCTAACTTTCCCCAACTTTCTCCAAAATTCCCAAATATTCCCAACTGTATCCATCACCAACGTTTTCCAACTTTTTGCTCTTTTACCAGAAATTCCCCAACATTCCCCAATTGTCAGCAAAATTCCCCAACGTTCCACGACGACCCCAAATTTTCTCAACTTTCCCAAAAATTTTCCATATTTTTCCAATTTTCTCAAAAATTCCCCCAAGTTTTTTAATTTTATGCACCTTTCGCTAAAATTCCTAAATTTGCACAATTCTTTAAACTTTCCCCAACATTTCCCAATTAATATTCCCAACCTTCTCCAACATTCCCACACTTTCCCCAACTTTCCGCGACTATTCCCAACATTCCCGAAGTTCTCCAACTCTCCCAACTTTCCTCAACATTCCCAAACTTTCACCAGCATTTTCCCCCTTCTAAAAATTCCCCAACTTTCCCCAAAAATACTCCACATATTCCCAACATTCATTTGCCACCTTTCTTCAAAAATCCACAACTTTCTCTAATTTCACCCTACTTTTCCCAAAATTCAACATATCCTAATTTTCACCAGCATTCTCCCTTTCCTCAAAATTCCCCAACTTCCCCAAAAATACCCCACATATTCTCAACATTCCCCAATTTTCCGCAACTTTTCACAAAATGCTCCAACTTCCCTCCAATTTCCTCAACTTTTCCAGACTGCCCAACAACCTTCAACTTTTCCAAAAGTTACCTAACGCTCCTCAAACTTCATCAACGTTCCCCAATTTTTCCCAGCTTTCCGCAAATATTCCCAACCTTCTCCATTCCCAACGTTCCTCAACTTTTTCCATTATTTCACAAAAATTCCCCAAATTTCCCCAACTTTCCCCCATCTTTCCTCAAATATTCCCAGCATTACCAACATCCTCCAACTTTCCCCAATATTTTTCCAACTTTCCTCAATGTTCCCTCATGTTCTTAGCATCAAATTTCATAACTTGCAGCAGAGAAACTGTAAACTGCGGCGGGAAGAAGGAGGTGAAAGGCTGAATGTGAAACTGGAAAGCTTGGAACAAAAAACTGGAATCAGGAAGGGGAAGCTCAAAACAAGACGTTGAAACCACAGGTATGAAGTTGAAACATGAAACGTGAAACGTGAAAAGTGAAACGTGAAACTTGAAACATAAAACATGAAACGTGAAACATGAAACATGAAACATGAAACATGAAACATGAAACATGAAACATGAAACATGAAACATGAAACATGAAACATGAAACATGAAACATGAAACATGAAACGTGAAACGTGAAAAGTGAAACGTGAAACTTGAAACATAAAACATGAAACGTGAAACATGAAACATGAAACATGAAACATGAAACATGAAACATGAAACATGAAACATGAAACATGAAACATGAAACATGAAACATGAAACATGAAACATGAAACATGAAACATGACACATCACACATTATAGCATGAAGCATGGAGCATGAAGCATGAAGCATGCAGCATGGAGCATGCAGCGTGACGCGTGACGCGTGAAGCGTGAAGCGTGAAGCGTGAAGCGTGAAGCGTGAAGCGTGAAGCGTGAAGCGTGGAGCGTGGAGCATGGAGCATGGAGCATGACGCATGACGCTTGAAGCATGAAGCATGAAGCATGAAGCATGAAGCATGAAGCATGAAGCATGAAGCATGAAGCATGAAGCATGAAGCATGAAGCATGAAGCTTGAAGCTTGAAGCTTGAAGCTTGAAGCATGAAGAATGAAGCATGAAGCGTGAAAATCAACATAAAAAGCTAGAAATAGGAAACTGTAAGTGTGGAACTGAAAATTAAACATCCAATTGGAAATAGGAAACAACAAGAAGACACGCAACGGGTAATTTTAAGCGTGTAACTAGACACATGAATCCGGAAGCACAATACTTAAAAGCGAAAGAAAAAAATTGAATCCGACATTTGAGATCAGAAACAGGAAACTGAAAGGAAGTACCTGGAAGCACGAAACTGGAGAAATGGACCTAAGGGTTTGAGGAAAGGAAAACTTGGAACTAGAAACATGAAACTGAAAACTGGAAAATGGTGACATGAAGCGCAAACGTAAAAGTGGAACACAAAATATGAAACCAAACCGAATACATGACCCCATAAAGAGGAAACTGGAATAAGCAACTGTAGGCATGAAACTAAACCAATAAAGTACAAACAGGAAACAAGGAATTGAAAACGTGAAACTGAAAATTGGAATAATGAACAGGAACCACAAGAAAATTATAGTCCAAAAATTTACAAAGGAAGCTCCATTCAAGAAATTGAAAGAAAACTATAAAAATAGAAAGATATCGAAATGGAAAGTTTAGTGTGCAATATTTAGACGACACTAACCTGTACGGTTTCTGGAAGTAAGGAATAAGATTGAAACCTACGATCATTAATTCGAGAATCCGACCGCAATTAAACCGACGATCTCGTCGACTGGTCAAGAACTAGCAGTCCGGACGATAATAGCATCTGTTACAGCTTTACTCATTCGATTGGAGATACATGTCTTTTCCTGGACGCAGGTGCTAATAGCACCGCAGATGTTGTAACTGAAATCTATTAATCTCAACTTCGCGGGACATCTGTCGATGTCCCATTTCAGCGGAATCCTAATTTATAGCTTCAAGCCCCGTATTGCATTGACACAACCGCCACGAGTGCAGTTTTCAAACGTGGTCGCACCCGCAAGATTTAATTTAAGTGCGCCTATAGTAATAATGAGACCAAAATAATATTGATCCTCTCCGAGTCTGCCAAACTACTATTGGCAAACACCCAATTTGCTTCGCACCTTTCGCGCAAACTACACTCGCATGATTTATACATCAAAGTATTAGGTTGAACGCGTCGTCGTCGGGGGGAAAAAAAAGAAGTTTATTCGGCCTCTCTCCCCATATTGATATTGCAATCCCCTAAAAGTACTTTATTGACTTTGCGAAACTCATTTCTTTTGACACGCGCCTAGAAAAAGGGGGAAAAAACGAGGGTGTTGCCGGAAAAAATATGTGTTGTAAAAATATTTTGACTCGAACATATGAACTGTCCAAATTCTCGCTGATAAATTCTCGGCCTTAAGCAATGATTTGTCAACGTTTACGGCATGAGCACGTCAAAGAGAAAAATGCTACCTTCTTTTTATGATTATCACGCAATTACTCTAATTTCGTTGTTTGCGCCAGGCCTTTATGGACGAATCCATTTCGTTTGATTACACTTACGCAAAAGGACGACGCTTTGATGTCCTGGGAAATCTAATTAAACGAGATATTTGACAAATTTGTCTTTACACCTGAACGACGAAAGATCAATTGCGAATGTAAATGCAACCTTGAGTAAGTGGAAGGGAATCGCGTCGCAAAAACTTAGAAGGAAGTGCGATTACAAGTGAATGGTTTTCGTTCACGTGGACTTCAAGAGAGTCCCAGTTACTCATGCTACTTGGTGGTCTGGGAGTAATTGACTTGAACTGACTAGCGGAATGGAAACCTACCGATTCTAAAACTCTAGCGAATCATGGTCGCCTAACAGCAACCTATAGGGGAGATATGCATGAGAGATGCAATTCCGATTTTCGTAGTCCGACCTGTGTCTAACCCAAAAATGGAGCAATTTGACGGTTTGAATTTTAGTC